CTGCCCTGCGCTGCTCGCATGGCGTTGAAGCTTCCCAGCCCCACCGCCCCCGGCAGCGCCTTCAGCCTCCTCGTCTCGTCTTCCTCTGCCATATTGCCACTAATTGTCATGCCACCTACGTCGCTGCTTCTGCCCTCAGCCTCGCCAGCTGTGCTGTCTGACGTGGCGCTGACCTGGCGCATTGCACTGGTAATATCAGCCGCTGGTGCTGGTGTGGTGGTGCTAGTGGCTCTAGTGATGCTGCTTCTCCCAGTGCGGTTTGTTCTGTTGTTGCTGCTGCTCTTGCTGTTGCGGCTGTTTCAGCTGGTTCGAAGCTCGCACCAGCTGCATCTACTGCCCCTGGACCTGCTCTTGGCACAGCAACACCAGATGCTGCTGAATCCTCTCCTGCTGGCACACCACTGGCTGATGCTGCTGCTGCTGCTGCTGGTGCTGCTGCATTATCCGCAGACCATCCAGTATCAGTGGAAGCGGCCGCATCACTGAGAGCATCAGCAGCAAGAGCTGCATCAGACCCACTGCTGACCAGAGCAGCACCAGTGCTGGTAGGAGCACCAGAAGCACGAGAAGACAGATGGCTAGCACTTGCATCACGAGTGTTGCTAGAAACATCAGCAGCAGCCGCAGCAGGCACAGAAGCTGCAGCGGCAGTTGAGGGGACAGCAGCAGCAGCATCAGGAGGCGCATGAGGAGGTGGACATAGGTGGAGGGGTCACAGGATGGCAGTGACTCAACGCTGGGTGTGGGGCGTGGGGAGCGCTGCGGGTGGGGATGGACGAACAGCTGCCTTGGCGTTTGACCAAACTCGTTGATCTGACAAGGGCATTCAGGGAAAAGCAGAATAGGAGGGAGGATGGAGGGGAAGGCGGAGGAGAGGAGAAAGAGGGAACATGGCTGAGTAAGTTCAGCAGGGATTGCAGAAAAATGGCATATGGTCTGAAGTGGCACCTGTATCAGCTAATCTATGTTAAATGAGACGAGTTTCCAGTCGACTTAACTTGTATTGACCTATTTACAAGGTGCCCCAAAACAGGATCGTTTCACTCAACATCAGAGCTGCTTTCCCACAGCACACCTGAGTCTCGAAGCCTCTCCTCACCACCAAGCTGCTGAGGGAGTCAAGGTCCGCTGCGCCCTCATAGGTGAGGGGATGGAACAGGTTGTCAGCTTCCTCTGCTGCCTGGCATTTAGCGAGGGAGGGATTGGAGTGAGAGAGAGTGAGGATGCAAAACTACTGAGCACACCAAACAAGCTGCTGAGCGAGTCCAAATTCACTGCGCCTTCATAGGTGAAGGGATGGAACAGGTTGTCAGCTCCCTGCTGCCTGGTGGGTTAGTGGGGGACGGAGTGAATGAGAGAGTGATGGAGTGGGAGAGCATAGTGAAACAGTTGATTACCTTCCACCTGCGGCACTCAAAGCATCCTTGCCCTGCGCTGCTCGCATGGCGTTGAAGCTTCCCAGCCCCACCGCCCCCGGCAGCGCCTTCAGCCTCCTCGTCTCTTCTTCCTCTGCCATATTGCCACTAATTGTCATGCCACCTACGTCGCTGCTTCTGCCCTCAGCCTCGCCAGCTGTGCTGTCTGACGTGGCGCTGACCTGGCGCATTGCACTGGTAATATCAGCCGCTGTCTGGTGGTGCTGGCTCTAGTGATGCTGCTTCTCCAGTGCGGTTTGTTCTGTTGTTGCTGCTGCTCTTGCTGTTGCGGCTGTTTCAGCTGGTTCGAAGCTCGCACCAGCTGCATCTACTGCCCCTGGACCTGCTCTTGGCACAGCAACACCAGATGCTGCTGAATCCTCTCCTGCTGGCACACCACCTGGCTGATGCTGCTGCTGCTGCTGCTGGTGCTGCTGCATTATCCGCAGACCATCCAGTATCAGTGGAAGCGGCCGCATCACTGAGAGCATCAGCAGCAAGAGCTGCATCAGACCCACTGCTGACCAGAGCAGCACCAGTGCTGGTAGGAGCACCAGAAGCACGAGAAGACAGATGGCTAGCACTTGCATCACGAGTGTTGCTAGAAACATCAGCAGCAGCCGCAGCAGGCACAGAAGCTGCAGCGGCGGTAGTTGAGGGGACAGCAGCAGCAGCATCAGGAGGCGCATGAGGAGGTGGACATAGGTGGAGGGGTCACAGGATGGCAGTGACTCAACGCTGGGTGTGGGGCGTGGGGAGCGCTGCGGGTGGGGATGGACGAACAGCTGCCTTGGCGTTTGACCAAACTCGTTGATCTGACAAGGGCATTCAGGGAAAAGCAGAATAGGAGGGAGGATGGAGGGGAGGCGGAGGAGAAAGAGGGAACATGGCTGAGTAAGTTCAGCAGGGATTGCAGAAAAATGGCATATGGTCTGAAGTGGCACCTGTATCAGCTAATCTATGTTAAATGAGACGAGTTTCCAGTCGACTTAACTTGTATTGACCTATTTACAAGGTGCCCCAAAACAGGATCGTTTCACTCAACATCAGAGCTGCTTTCCCACAGCACACCTGAGTATCGAAGCCTCTCCTCACCACCAAGCTGCTGAGGGAGTCAAGGTCCGCTGCGCCCTCATAGGTGAGGGGATGGAACAGGTTGTCAGCTTCCTCTGCTGCCTGGCATTTAGCGAGGGGGATTGGATGGAGTGAGAGAGAGTGAGGATGCAAAACTACTGAGCACACCAAACAAGCTGCTGAGCGAGTCCCAAATTCACTGCGCCTTCATAGGTGAAGGGATGGAACAGGTTGTCAGCTTCCTCTGCTGCCTGGTGGGTTAGTGGGGGACGGAGTGAATGAGAGAGTGATGGAGTGGGAGAGCATAGTGAAACAGTTGATTACCACAAGCTACCAAGTGAGAGAGCATAGTGAAACAGCTTATTACCACAAGCTGCCAAGTGAGTCGAGGTCAATTTTGAGTCGACTCTTAAGTCACCTCGTGAGGGAGCAGAGTGAAACAGTTAATTACCTCAAGCTGCTAAGTGAGTCGAGGTCCGCTGCGGCCTCACGCTACGTGAGAGAGATAGACACAGCAATAGAGCAAGGCATGGCATATGATCTGATGACCGAGCTACTTTTGAGGTGCCTCAAAACTAAAGCAAGGGCATAGAATATGATCTGATGACTGGGCTATGGGGGAGTCAATAAGAGAGAGCAGTAGAGCACCAGCATGGATCAGATCACCGAGATTCGCCGACACCCACTCGCTTTCCAGAGCCTGCACGTGCTTCACGATTAAATGTGGACACCATTGGGAATCTGGTCGATTCTGAGTCAACTCCAGCGTCACTCACTCCCTCAATCTTCTTCCTCTTCCCGTCTCTCTCTTCTCTCTCTTCCTGCTCTTCCTCCTATTCCCTTCCGCCTATCTCTCCCATCTCCCCCGGCAGTGAACAAGACCCTGCGCGATCCAGTGTATTTCAGAAGGACACGTCAAGTCTGCCCCATCTGCGCACGGGCACCAAGTACAAGGCATACCCCACCTATGACTTTGCATGCCCCTGTGTGGACAGCATAGAGGGCGTCACCCACGCTCTACGCTCCAGTGAATACCACGACCGTAACGAGGAGTACTACCGCGTGCTGGAGGTGTGTAGAGTGGTGGGGAGGGGTGGGAGGAGGTAATGAGCGGTGGGGAGGGAGGGGTGGGAGGAGGTAATGAGCGGTGGCGAGTGGCAATGAGAAGCAAGGAGTGGCATTGATCCTGCATGTGGATTTCTATGTTTTATAATCGGTGTGCTTGTTATCCAGCATCTGGAAAGATCTCCATCATCTGAACTCTGGTCTTTCTAGCAAAGCTCGTTGGAACCCTTCCTCCTCCCACCCTTCTTTCCGCCTTCATCTCAATGGCATGGTCTTGGTCTTTGACATGTGAGGGATGTTCCTTTTCAAAGCTCCATGCGTGCATACGCTGCCATACCAATATGCTCTCCCGCCAGCTCCACCTGCTTTCCGATTGCACGGCACCCCTCTTCCCTTAGGACACTCCTTGATCCATATTACTTCCTCTTGTGCAATGCACCAATGCCAGGACATGGGACTGCGGCGGGTGGAGGTGTGGGACTTCTCGCGACTCAACTTCGTCTACACGCTGCTGTCCAAGCGCAAGCTCGCGTGGTTCGTGGACAACGGCCGTGTCACCGGCTGGGACGACCCACGCTTCCCCACCGTGCAGGGCATGCTCAGACGTGGGCTCACCGTGCCCGCACTGAAACAGTTCATTCTCTCCATCGTTCAAGGCATTTAGTGGGCTTGGGCTGGACCTAAGCCAGGGTGTACATGTGCTGTGCGATCCCTCCCTCCCACTGTGCAGCATGTGCTGCAACCAACCCCATGTGGCAACAAATTTGGATGAGTCCTGCAGTTTAATATGTGTGCAGCTACATATTTTTTTTTTCCAAGTGTGCAGGTCGTTCATACCTCTCCTTCCTTCACTTCTATTCCTTCGCCGCCTCTCCCCACCAAGCTGCTTTCTTGGCTTATGTACCTCACTATTCCAGTATTTTCGACTAGCTTCTACTGTTTTTCTTCACTGTTTTGTGGTGAAGGTGTGCGGTGTGACATGAATCGATGAGCTCATGCCTCTCACCCTCGTGGAGATGGATTACCTCATCACCAAGAAGAAGGTGCGCTTTTGGTGTGGTTCGGAACGAGGTGGGGAGGTGATGGGCAATCAGAAAGAAGAATGTGCGGTGCCGACTTCACTCTGCACCCTCTCTCTCCCTTCACTCCCACCTCCGTGCGTCCCCCAGCTGAACGAGCCCTATGGCTTCCTTGCACCACTATATTCTTCCCCTCTTCCCTTTCCTCTGTCTCTTACATATCCTCCCTCCCCAACCTTACCAGTTGGACGAGGGTGATGACTTCCTGGCGGCGTTCAACCCGCGCATGCGCTGGGAGGAGGTGGCGGTGGGAGACAGCAACATTCACACCGTATGCTGTCGGTTGTAACCCTCCCTATCTGCCCTTTACTTCCCCACCCTCTTCCCTCCCCAGTTGGACGAGGGCGGTGACTTCCTGGCGCCACTCAACCCGCGCACGCGCTGCCAGGAGGCAGCAGCGGTGGACAGCAACATGCAGACCGCATGTCGTTGGGTTAAGCCCTCCCTCTCTGCCCTTCACTCCCCACCTCAATCCTCAGTTGGACGAGGGCGACAGCAACATGCAGACCGTATGCTGGTGTTTTCAACCATCTCTCTCTGCCCTTTACTTTTGAGTCGACTCAAAAGTACGCTCCTCCTAACACATTCCACAGTCCTAACGAAGCAACATTGCTGACTTTTGAGTCGACTCAAAAGTCACTCCCCAGGTGGACGAGGGCGACAGCAACATGCGGACCGTATGCTGGTGTTTTCAACCATCTCTCTCTGCCCTTCACTCCTCCCATCCCTTTCCCTTCCCTCACCCACCAGTTGGACGAGGGCGACTGCAACATGCGGACTGTATGCTGGTGTTTTCAACCATCTCTCTCTGCCCTTTACTCCTCCCATCCACTTCCCTCCCCCAACCCCCAGCTGGATGAGGACGACGACTTCCCGGCGGCACTCAACCCGCGCACGCGCTGGGAGGTGGCGGCAGTGGGAGACGCCAACATGCGGACCGTATGCTGTTGTCTTCAACCCTCCCTGTCTGCCTCTTACTCCTTCCATCCTCCCACCCCCCCTCCTCCTCTACTTCCCTCCTCCCCACCACACCAGTTGGACGAGGGTGATGACTTCCTGGCAGCACTCAACCCGCGCACGCGCTGGGTGTCAAACTATATATGCTGCATATTGTCTAGGCTGTAGTGGGGTAGCCCATATGGGGTACAACCCAATTAGGGTTTACTACTTGTACTCCTGCATCCTGCTAGTTCATTCATTCCTGCTGCTAGATTCTAACATGGTTTCAGAGCACTAAGGTCCGTAGGACCGTTTTTTTTTTCGGGCCCACCTACCGCTGCGGTTACCGCGCTACCCCACGTACCTGCCTGCCTTGCCTTGCCTTGTGACGTGCTGCACTACGCGCGCCGTCCAGCAGCCCTAGCGCTGCCTCCTGCTGCCCTAGGCTCGGTCGCCGCCTCTACAGGCCCTTCAGGCCCGCGAACCGCCCCTACAGGCCCGTCAGGCCCCCTGCTGCCGCGCGCTGCCCGCACCGAGCCCGCGCAGCCCGCGCCGAGCCGCGCGCAGCCCGCTGCTGCCGCGCGCTGCCCGCACCGAGCCCGCGCAGCCCGCGCCGAGCCGCGCGCTGCCCGCACCGAGCCCGCGCAGCCCGCGCCGAGCCGCGCGCAGCCCGCTGCTGCCGCGCGCAGCCCGCGCCGAGCCCGCGCAGCCCGCGCCGAGCCGCGCGCAGCCTGCTGCTGCCGCGCGCAGCCTGCGCCAAGCCTGCGCCGCCCGCGCCGAGCCGCGCGCGGCCCGCTACTGCCTCGAGCGGCCCGCGCGCGGCCCGCAGCAGCCCGCGCCAAGCCGCGCGTGGCCCGCTACTCCCTCACGCAACCCGCGCGCGGCCTGTAGCAGCCCAGCGCGCTGTCAGCCGCGAGCGGCCCTCTGCTGCCTCGGCTCCGACC